TATATCACATGTATATGTAGTTTTCTTGTTTTGAAAGTTGTTTGAAATATTTCAAAAAATAATATTAATATGTGTAAGCCAATGTAAATGTAAGTATATATATAAATATAAGGTGTGAATTGCAGTAATTAAACTTGGTAATACATATATATATATATTAGTATAACGTTACATTTATGTTTTAAGAAATTGACATTGTCTTAACAATCGACACACCAAGGCACCAAGCTCCTACTAAAACTCTTAGCTTTTAAATAAATGTACTGCAAAATGTCTATCCAATTTGTGCATTCAAACTACTTATAAATATATATATATATTTTTAATATTATTGATATACATATTTTAAATAATAATGAAAGTATGTGCATTCTCATAACAGTGTAATGTACCTATATTTATTATAGGTACATTACATTTGCTTAGGTAGGTTAATTTTTAAATTATTAAATAAAATAATTATTACATTGCAAAGGATATATATATATATATATTATTTATTATTAATAATATATATAAATCATGGATAATTCATTTTTGCATGCCAACGACATTATAAAAATGTTGACAAATATTACAATATTTTAAGCATAGTTTTAAACCTTTGGAGGAATTTAAATACAATTTATTATAATTTTATAACATATAATATGTATATTATGTAGTTTTCTTGTTTTGAAATTTGTTTGAAATATTGCAACAAATTAATATGTGTAACCCAATGTAAAGGTTAGTACAGGTATAAGTTATGAATTGAAGTAATTAAACTTTTTAATACAATATATTAGTATATATAATATAATATTACATAACATGTATGTTTTAAGAAATTGAAATGTATTGTATTTATTGTAGTCTTTTCATGTTTACTTATTATTATCTACTTACATTATTATGTATGTAACGACATTGTCATAAACAATCGACACACCAAGCTCCTACTAAAACTCTTAGCTATAATAGTTAAATGTACTGCAATACTCATGACAAATGTCTATCTAATCCGTGCATTCAAACTACTTATATTTTTAATATTATTGAAATGCTGATTAATTGCGGCTTCCACAACGCCCGGAATCGACTTACACAGTCAGCTAGTAAATATAAAATTTACTTAGGTACGATAATAAAATTCAAAATAATAACATTTACTATTATTTTATTAAAGCGAACACAACATTTTAGAAGATAGGTTGAAAACGGTGATATAAAAACAATTATTATGTAGTAGTAATGCAAAGAAAAAATTGAAAAAAACAGTTTTTGAATTTTGCGTTTTACATATTATATTATCAAAATATAACATGATCATAATATTTATTTACATCACTACGGTCTGTGGATAAACAGTTTACTCATAATATTTTTTTGAAATGCAAAATGTATTTCTCCAAAGAATTTTTGGTCGGAATTTCGTTCTCTTGCGTCGGTATGGCAGGAAATAGGAATGTCGTTCCTATTATCAATGCGAAATAACCATGCAACTACTGATGGATGTGGACTGAAAAATAAGGACGAAGTCTTGGAGGTAAACAAAATATAATACATAATATCATGTAGGTTTATATTATAAAATAATAAACGTTAAAATTCTTTAATATTTGTCATTTTTAGTATAACCAACATATTAATTAGTTTCGGAGCAAAAACCTTGTGTGTCTGGCGTCCAGACATAGGTACCATATTCTTGCTCTGAAATGTAATAACCTGGTAAGTCCATTTTGCTTATATTATCTCCGTAACTAATTATCGGACATAACGGTTTGATACACCGAAATGTGTAGCTTTATTTCCTGATCAGGAAACTACAATTATAAAAAAAACTTTTTTGAAAATGTGGACATATCAGGTTTTGCACATTAGGATTCCATACTTTTTAGCTTAGATAGGTATAGCCGTATAGGTAGGTACATAATATACTTACCATAAGTGCAAATTTACACTTATGAGTTTGTAAATTTAAGTAGGTATTAGTAACAGTTGAGATTCACTAACTTTTAACTTGTACATTTAACTATAAATCTGTAACTATAATATAAAATACAAGTCACATATTATATTATGTTGGTAAATTGCAACCCATAATAATAGTTAAATTTACAAAAAATAAAAATGAGTAACTTTAACTATGACCTACTGATAATTTTACACATAAAATAGATTAATTCAACTTCGCTATGATTGTAAATTTACAAGTAGGTAATGTGTTGTAGATTTAAACACAATAATATGGGGTTGTTAATGGGTGTTGCCACACATTTTGTATGAACAAACTTTTTTTTACAGTGTATATTATAATTTAAAGGTAGGTTGTAAGCGTGATCACATAATAATATGGTCGTCCACCCACCAATCGATCATTTTACATGGTCCTGTTCTCTCGTGAAAAAGAATATTACTATAGAAAAAAAAATAATACCCATAACATAATAATATAGTACCTATTTATTTTAATAGTACGAAAACGATAAGTTTTTCGATGCGGAATCGAGAAGTTTAGGTCTATGGTCTCAACACCAACAGGCAACTCGCGCGCACGCACTCGCAAGTCGCAATTACCGAACGATGGTCATCGGAAAATAATAATTTTCGATGAACGCCGGAAATCCCCACTTATGTTTATAAATTACAGTGTATTAATTAAAATTTAAAATATTGAATATAATACGCGTTTTCGGTAATCTTTCGGTAAATCATATTATTTATTTTTATTTTATAACAATTGATAATAATATATTGTCGTTTTTTATTTTATCATTCAAATTTTCAATAACAACTATTACTGTACACCATAGAGTATATAGAGATGCCATATCAGAATAAGTATTATGAATTATGTGAAGCAAAACATGTCGGATTTGGTTTCCAATAACTAACAAAGCAACTGATAGATAGCGCTAATTTTAAACTTTTCGTAAATCCCAAAAATTTAATATTTTGAATATGTTATAATACTTTCTACTCAGAAACTATTTTAAGAACAAACCTAAGATGCTGGTGTGTTACAATAATTTAAGTATTGATAGTACTGATAATTTCCTCACCAAAAATTACTACCCTCCCGTAACATATTATAATAGTATTTACGTATTTGTGCAAATCAAGTTCAGTTCAGTAATATTATAATAATTAATATTATATTGATAGTTATAAATAAAGGTTAATATAATCATAGAACAATATGATATAATTGAGTAATAATAATGAGTAATATAATTAAATTACAATAAATATTGTATTATAGTTCATATACAATAAAATATTTTCTATAGTTTGCCTACACTGTTTTGTTTCCATTTCCGCTTCATATTATTCCAATTAGGGCGCCTCTATATACTCTATGCTGTACACACTACACCGCACGCCGTTTAACTCGACAAAGGAGTAGGATCACACGCACGACTAGGGTTGCCAACCGTCGAGGCGGGACGTCCCGTATACAGGGCTCAAATAATGCGTCCCGCGATGCGTGTTCGCGGGACGCTAATTGTCCCGCTTCTAGGTAAACCTGTCAAAGTCCTATTAAATATAAATATTACGTTCGTATTGTGCGCATTTGAAATTATTTTCCATCGATTGCACGTGCTGGTTTTGTCAAACATTAGTAGTATTTGTATTCAGTATTCTCAGAATATTTAGGTTGAACATTTATCGAAATGTCTATAACAAAATCAATATTATTTTCGGTGCGTTATCTATGTAACATTATGATCAAACGTTGACTATACTGAGTATTCTCTCAGAAGGGGAAACATAAAGTGGCGACGTGTGTGTAATACGATATCGATATGTTACGGGTAAAGTACAAAATATGGTTAGTGTTCACCTTCACATTATCCGGGTAATGTGTACACTACCTGTACCTATTGGATAAAGTAAAAATACTATTTATAAAACGTTTATTTCGTACTTTACTCGGGTATTTTACACATTATCTACGACTGAGTGGGTAAAGTACTTTGATAAAATGTATACCTACGATAAAATAACGATTGTAGATAAATGTTTATGAAGAAACACACGCAATAATATTTAGTAAGGTGCTAGTTCGTCTTAATACACGCGTCGTACATATAATATAGGTTTTTAAAATGACTTCACGCGAAAAAATTTATGAGTGTTTTTATAAAATAGTTAATGAAAAAAATAATAATTCAGTTTATTTATCGGCAGTTAAGTATAACGAAATAGTTTCGGAAATTAAAAATGTGAGATCAAGTGGAATAAAAAGTAACAAGGCATATTGAATTTTGAAAAGATACGACCTCATTACTATTGGAGAAGAAGATAAATTAATATTGCCGTTGTTGGAAGGTAATACAAACATTTTGTACTATATTACTAATGAAAATATCTATGATGTGCTACACGATGTACATTTGAGTATTGGGCATGGTGGAAAACACCGCATGAATGCTGAAGTTAAAAAAAAGTATAAAATTATAACACAAGAAGCGGTGTCTATTTACTTAAAGTTTTGCGAATCGTGTCAATCTAAACAAAAATCTAAAAACAAGGGTCTAGTGATTAAACCAATGGTGTTTTCGGAAATGAATAGTAGGTGCCAAGTGGACCTGATTGATATGCAGTCGCAGGGGGATGGAGAATTCCGGTTTATTATGGTATATCAGGATCACCTTACTAAATTCGTTCAACTAAGACCCTTAAAAACAAAGAGAGCAGAAGAAGTCGCAAAACACCTTATCGACATATTTTGTATTTTCGGAGCTCCGATGATATTACAATCTGACAATGGCCGCGAGTTTGTGAATAAAATAATAGAAGACTTAAAAGAAATGTGGGACACACTGAAAATCGTTCACGGAAAGCCACGCCACAGTCAGTCACAAGGAAGTGTCGAGAGAGCAAACCAAGACATACAAAATATGTTGATAACATGGATGAAAACAAATAACTGTAAAACATGGTCAGAGGGACTTCGATTTGTACAGCTAATGAAAAATAGGGCCTATCACGATGGCATTAAAAGATCTCCATACATGGCCATGTTTGGTACTGATGTGAAAATTGGTTTGTCATCATCTTTACTACCAGCTGAAACAGTGGAAAAATTAACCACTGAACAAGAATTGGAAGAAATATTGCAAAGTGTCGTGTCAAACTATGAACAAAGAGAAAATCATAGTGTTTCCGATAAAGAGGTAAATTGTTGGCAATATTATAGTCGTTATACCAGATTTAATCACTTCTACTTTTTTTCTTAACAGGACAGTACTGTATCTAATTGCTGTGAATCGTGTGGCTGTACTCTTGGTAATGAACAAACATCTATTTGTGGTTTATGTGATAAAAAAGTAATTATTACAAAACAAGTTTTATTTAGGAAAAAATTTTATTTATTTGTATTAAAAATGTTTCAGAACACCATAGAAAATGAGAGAAGCAATTCAAAATTATCGCTTGAGCAACAAGCAAAAAAAATGAAGTTCAGATCCATCAACAAATTCCCACCATGCAATGTTGGCGACACAGTTAGAGTCAAACTACCAGAAGTAGACAGAAGTAAGGGTGATCCACAGAATGTACTCTTTGCGGTTGTGTCTATAAGTGATAATCAATATTACGAACTCGGTAATAAAAATGGCACTCTTCATCAACTTTATTCCAGAAATCAATTCACTGTATGCTCTGAACCATTAATAGATATTTTAGAAGTTTTAGCCACAAAAAAATCTTTGCGTGAAATAGCTAATGAACAATCTTTTTCCGGTGGTCAAGGTTTTAAGAAGTGTTTATGTAAAACTAAATGTTTAACAAATAAATGTAAATGCAAATCCGGGGGAATACTTTGTAATTCTAAATGTCATCCAAACTCAAATTGTTCTAATAAATAATTGTATTTCACTTTTAAATTTTAATTAAGTAAATAGTAAAATTGTTCAAATATATAATTTATAGTTTAATAGTAATAATAATAAATAATTTTTTTTTGAATTAGTATAATTTGGTTTTGCTACTAGAAAGACTTTGTATAATCCGTACCATGTTAAGTGTTTGATGCGTTGGTTATGTTGTACCGAAGTTATAAGTTTACGATTATAGTTATACGAATACATTATCCACAGCACACCGGATAATGTATAAATTGATTGGATACTACATATTTAAGTTGGATAATGTATACATTACACTGTTCGTATGGATGAGGTTCACATTACCCGGGTAATATGTACACTAACCGTTTTTGTACTTCACCCGTAACAGATACAATATAATTTTTCGGAAGATTTGGCTACAATGCGAATATTTGCTTTGGAAAATACATTTATCTACAAGGATCTCTCTATGTGTTGTGAAAAATTATCACTCACCAAACTCATAGATATGGACAAACTTTATAATGAGTTTTGCAGTATTAAAGAAACTCTGGATAAAATTATTGAGGAGCGTAAGCAAACACATTCGTCGAATGAAAAAAAAACTATTTATGAAACTTGGCATGAACTGTTTCGGCATTTGAATATACCTAACTTATTAAAGATTTTCCAGTTTATTGTGTCTAATCCATGTTCAAATGCCGCTGCTGAGAGGGCATTTTCACTTTGCGGAAACGCCTGGACTGATTCAAGAAATAGACTGAGTGTTGAACACTTGAACACGTAAAGGCAGAACTGCAAGTAAAAATTAATTTTCAGTACAATTGCAAAGATTTTTATGACTATGTTATTAAAAATAAAAAATTGCTCAAATGTGCCAAATCACAAGATAAGTACTCTTTCAAAAATAAAAACTAATTGTCTTGTGATAAGGTAGGTACTCTTAACTGAGCAAAGTGTTTTATTTAATGATTAATATTGTGTTAAAAAACTTAAGACGATTATTCTGTTAATTTTATTTCAAATTTTAAATAAAACTGATAAAAATGATAAAAATTGTTTTTCTTTTGATTTTGTAAATTTGTAGTATTGTCCCGTTTTTTTTTGTCGAGCCCCGCTTGTAAATATCTGGTTTCCCGCTTATCCGCAAATAAGAGTTGGCAACCCTACGCACGACGCACTAACTGGCACCGCTTTTTGTTTCGTTGCCGTCATTCGAAGTCGCGTGGTCACTGTTGTCACTTGTCAGTTACTCAATTCGCAGTTAAACTTTGTCACTTGTCAGTTGTCGCTTGCCGCATACTCGCGTTTCGCACCGCCGTCCGCCAAATCCTCGATCGACCTCTGCTCCTACGCCCTACTCCGACACAGCTACATACCACGTACCGATCGGAACGCGACTATAGGTAAGAATTTTGACGAATTTTGTCTAAATCATAGACATTTGCAAATTATATTAAGTTTGCGGGTAGGTACGCGTGTCGTATGCTATATACCGTCGTATATAATCTACAAAAAGTAACGGCTTGGGTCGTACCAATGCAGATGTCGACGTATAAAAATGTACTCTATAGAAATGTGTCCTGTATGTCTCTTTAGAAACTTACTTTTACGTGTCTCCAAAAACAATAAATTGTTTGTGTTTGAGCACCTGTATGGATTTATGAAGTTTGATTATATGGTTGTGAAGAAAATTGTAGACCAAATTGTATAACCATTACTTCCTCCCCAATCTGAATTTTGTAATTTTTTTATTGCATTGATAAGTATAGTGCTCAATTCCTGTGAATTTCTGACCAGCTTTTTAAAATTCCAACCAACTTTCGTAATATTATAATATTATATTATTATTAAATAAAAACAACAAAATACAATATATATTATGTATGCTCAACATACAGTACATGTGCGTTGGATAAATTGATATAATCAAGTTTTTACGACTTATATACAATTCCCATCTTAAATTCTGACTTTATCTTATCCCAGCTGTCCCTACCGACATTGATTAGGTATTTTGTATATTAGCCCATATTTCAATACCATACCTTTGTCTAGAACTCACTCATTGATATGAATTCAACTGCAGTAAGTAAGAAAAAAGGTCTCGTACCTATTCAATATACTTATTTTAATTCATTAATATTTTAATAAATCTAACCAATATATTAATAATTTCTTAACATCAGCATTATGTTGTTTTTACCCTGTCTACACTCTAAAGCACCTAAATTTAGTATTAAGTTTAAACACAATGATGATAATTAAAATTAATCACAATTGTTAAAATAAATTTAAAGTTGTTAGGCACGTCAGTAGAAGAAATGGATACCATTCAGGCTTCATCTTGTGAAAATATTCTAAAGCAAGTTCTGAAATCAAATGACTGTGAACCAACTAATTTTAGGAATGACTCCCACTCTGTAAGAATACTAGAAGACTTACAATCCCAACGCACGTATGTTAACAATGATTTTACTATCAATCAAAATAAATATGAGTACCTAGGTAACACATTTTTGTTTTTAGAGAAGAAGTTTTATGTGACGTTAGATTTGAAACAGATGATGGTAAAATTGTAATTGGACATAAAAATGTTTTAATAGCAGCTAGTCCATATTTCCGTGCAATGTTTAATCATTTTGATGAGAGCAATAAAGATATTGTTAAAATAAGAGAATTAGATTCCACCATTTTACTACTATTAGTAGATTATATCTATACTGGAGAAATTATGGTCACAAAAGAAAATGTACAGGTATAATAAAATATTTTATTTGATATCGACTTCAAACAACATATTATTTTATGTTAATTATTGTTGATTTCTTAGGTGTTGTTACCTGCCGCAAATATCTTACAGTTAGATTATGTAATTGGTGTATGTTCTGAGTTTTTACAAAAACAACTGAATACATCAAATTGTCTTGGTATCAGAGCGTTTGCTGACTTACATAACTGTACTGATTTATTGTCAATTTCCGAAGCATATATTAAACAAAAATTTTTGTATGATTAACATTTTTTAATTCTCTATATCAAGAGTAAGTAGGTAATTTATTATAAAAATAATGATTATTATTTCCAGAGAAGTAGCTAAAGGCGAAGATTTTCTATCCTTATCTTCTGATGATTTGGTGAAGCTTATTTCCTCTAATGACCTTGCTGTTCCATTTGAAGAAAAAGTAAGCAAACTACAAATTGTATTTTTAATATTATGTATGGAATATCAACAAATAAAGGTGGGCAAGTATAGAGTACAGTTGATGTCTAGACTCTACAGGGATCACTGTATCAGATGTGTTATATTTGAATTCAATGATTTAAAATCATTGTAAGCGAAAATGATTCTGAGCTCTAAAGGTTTAATAATATTACCAAGTATATTTTATGCTATGGTTGATAAACTAATTTATTTTACTATTAGCCATTAGTAATACTGTATTTCTGGAGCAGTTTTAATTATTTTTCCAAAAAAGGTGCATTTGAAAAGATCATAATTGTGTGCATACAATATAACAATATACTTTAAAATTTTAAGTTCCTACAAATAATATTTTTAAACTAAATAAATAAAATCAATAAAGCTTGATTACCATAGAAAATAATTTTATTGACTGTTATTGAAAATAAACAAAAACATGTCTTATTTTAAATGTCTACAAATATTAAATAACTCTAAAATAGTTAAAACGTTTTTTTTTTTAATTAGTTCAAATCAATTGTGTCTCCTTGATGATAAAGAAGTTTTGCGGTCGGCTCCGACTGTAATTAATTTTCTATTACTTATTCACCTCCACGTACCACATTGATTAGTCAGAAGGCCCAAACGATTTCGCAAACGCAGCACATAAACCCTCTACTGCATGTATATTGTGATTTATGTGTATTCAAAAATAACAAATAATATATATTATTTAATACCATACAAATATAAGAATTATTAATTAATATTCCTTTGCTTAATATAAACAGTAGGAACACATGATCTTAAAGATCTATTATATTTTTGGGATCCTGTGATAATTATACACTATTGAATGGTTGAACAAACTATTATTATATCTTAATCTAGTTTTAAATATTTTTTATTATAGGTATTTGAATGTGTTATCAAATGGGTAAAACAGGATTCAGATCATAGAATAGATTTTTTGCCAAAACTAATGGAACATGTACGTTTACCATTATTAGCATCAAGGCCTGATGTATTAAATAATGTAGTCGAAGAACCTCTTCTGAAGAATAGTCCTAAATGTATATTTTAATAAATACGTCTTCATTATATGTAATTATATCTTTTGTCGATTATTATTTAATGTGTATAGATAAAGATTATGTGTTTGAAGCTATACGATTTAATCTACTTAAGTCAGTTCAACATTTCACCATTCCACAAACAATTCGGTGTAAACCTAGACAGTTTGATGGCTTTCAAAAAGTATGATTCCAAATTGATAAATTTATCTTCACAATAATTTTGTCCATTTAATTCTATTAGGTTCTTCTAATGTTCAGTAAGTCTAATACATCGCCAAAGTGTTATACTGAATGGTATGACCCAGCAACCAAGCTAAGAGAGAATGCACCAGGAATAAATGAATGTCGGAGGAATGCTGGTTTTGGTGTGATAAATGATCAATTTGTGTTTGCTGTGGGAGGTGTAGATGCATCGAGGTCTACATCTGTTAGTATGCTTGACGTATCTTCACAATCACCTTCATGGGTTCCAATGGCTGACATGTTATTTAGTAGAATGGATTCGGGAGTTGGTGTATTGGATGATTGTATATATGCAGTAAGTTAAATCAATATTTTACTTATTTTATATTAAAAATGTATATTATTTGTAATTCTAGGTTGGCGGATGTGAAAGCAATAGTATTTTCAAAAGTGTAGAGGTTTTTGATGTCATTACCCAAAAATGGAGAATAGTGTCTAGTATGACAATTGAGAGAATTAAATTGGGCGTTGGTGTACTCAATAATCGTCTATACGCTGTGAATAAATATATCACATTATTATTTATTTATTTATTTTACATTTTATTTAATTAAATTGTGTAGGTTGGAGGTTATAGTGGTAACTATTTGAAATCTGTTGAATATTATGATCCCACACTTGACATATGGACTCCGGTTGCAGAAATGTCTGAGTGTCGTGTTGGTGTTGGTGTAGGGGTTTTGGATGGTCTTATGTACGCAATAGGTGGCATTAATGGAAAGTTGCTTAAAAGTGTTGAGGTTTATAGACCGAGTGATGGAGTTTGGTCTTCTATAGCTGATATGAATTTATGTCGATGTTCCCCTGGTGAGTAGTGACTATGATAATTATATTTTTTAGGACGACCTTTGTAAAAATATATTGAATTTAAAATACATCATCTTATAGGAGTGGCCGTATTAGATGGTTTATTGTATGTTTTTGGCGGAGAAATGGGATCTATTGTTGATACTTTTGAAATTTACAACCCCAGCACCAATACTTGGACCTTGGAAAGATTGTCAAGAAATGGAGTACAAATTTATGGTGGAGTAGTTGTCGATAGACCACATCATTATCATTAATCAGCTTACAGTAGTACCCGTTGTTAATAGTAATATGAACAAATTTTTGTGTAAATTATGATGACGCGTGTATAGTTTTAAATATTTATGTTATTTTGAATACCTATTTGATAAGAATATTTTTCTTATAATTTATACTAACTTTTTTCAAATAAAAAAATTAAGCTATACTTAAATTATATCTATAATCTACTATTTAAATTATATTTTTTAATTTCTT